GCAAAATTCTGGAAACTAGCATTAATTTCAACTTGGCTTAAGACCCCTCTCCCTGCAATGTAAGTAAGGCTTAAAAATAATGCATCTATCTATCTATATATCTCAGCCTGCCTATATTTAGGAATTCTTGGTCCATGAGGACTAGACACTGCTGTGATAATAGCAGTAGTGGGTGTGCAACAGGAAATCCATTTTTCCCCCATGGACGGAAGACTAGTCCCCACAGATGCTAAAAATGTGGTCTAGCTCAAGACTGGAGAAAATGCCCTTCTGAACTCTGTCTGAACTTTGGTGTGTCTGATTCACAAAAAGCAGGGCTTAAAAATAACCTGATCAATTACCTGCACAATATTTTGAGACAAGTGCAGACAGAGTGATGTGTCTGGTAGCTTGCTTCTTTTCTGGTAAGAGTTTCAATGCCATAAATTAGGATTGCTTGGCTGCAACACAGAGTTTTGGCATCGACCTGTGAATTCCCCAAGTCAATGGGAAGCAAAGAAACCACAGAATCTCCCATCTGGTCTTTTCCCAGGATGTTTGTCTATTCCTTTCCTTGACTCCTGGCATGCTGCATAGCAGGTGGGGACAGCAGATACCAGGAGAGAAAAAAGCTAGTGAAGCCATGACTGGCTCATGAGGCCCAGCTATGCTCAGGAATTCAGAGATGCAGGCCTATTCTGTACTTTGCAACTTATCTGATCGAATGGAAATGAAAGACACCTGCGATGAGGGCAAAGTTGACTATGGATCCAAGGCTGACTTTTGTATCGTCTTGGTAGCTTTCGGGTTTTAGAAACCATGATCAGGAACAATTATTTATTCTATGGTTCCTCTGTGCTGCCATAGCTTGTCGTGCTGTCTGAACCCAGGATCCTGGTATGCAGCTACCACATAGTCCCCTGGAAAGAGCAACAACTTCAGGAGCACCTCCAGCCATCCCGCCTCTGTGTGTGGATCAATGAGGAAGAGCCAGGTAACACATTCAGGAGGTGATGCTCCTTGGGATTGAATTTCAGGCACAGTGGTGGATGGAATATGTGCCAACTTCTGGAGGACTGAGTAGGAAGGATGGAAACCATGATCAAATAGAAACCACTTGAACAGCTGCCGGTTAGATCAATGTAAAGAACAATGAACTGTGGTAACCAACAACTTTACTGTGTTGTGTGAACCTGGCCAAATTTTAATATGTTTCTAATCTCACTTCAGTCTCTTGCTGTGTAGCACTAGAAACAGAACATGAAAAACACAAAATATTGCATGCCAGGAAAAGACACATACTTTGTGGCAGACTCTTTTGCATACTTTTCTGGAAAGAAGTCTGATTACAGCATGAGCAGATGATGGGAGGAGAAAGACACTGACAGCCTGTGACACACATATGGCACAAGTTAAACAAAATCCCTGCTTTGACTGGCAACAACTTTTCAGTGTCTCAAGGACAGGATTTTGAAGGGCTGCTACACAAGATACTTTAACTGCAAATAACCCAAATGGAAATACAGAACAGTTTTAGCCTATGGAGTTGCCTTTCCCAGCTTAGTGCCCTCTATATGGCTTGGATATAATATCCTGACATTTCTGACCATTGGCTATGTTGGCTGTGTCCAATGAAAATTGGAATCCAAAGCACAGGGAAGGCACCAGGTTGGAAAAGACTGGTACATGGCATGGGATCTAACACTGAGCTGCAGCCTCTCTCTCTGTTCCACTGCAAATGGTCAAGTTTATCTCTTCTTCCCTTGACTTGCTGCCAATTCTCACCTGGCACCCATGGGATTCAGCATGCCACTAGCGATAATTGAAAAGTTAGATGAAAACCGCACAGTCCCTTTTTTCAACTCTTCCCCCACAACACTTCCCCCCTTTCCTTCTCACACATCTTCAATAAATGTCACTTCACACTAAAGACATCCATCCTTCTGCTAGACACAGCGTTTAAAAACTCCCTGAAGATTATACAGTGCGTTTGGGGAGAAAGTAAGTTTAATGCCTTGTGACAATGAATCAATATGGATTTTATTAAAGCTTTCAGAAAGACATCTTGAGGCATCCATAATGTGTGAGGCATTCAGGGTTCAGCCAGCCACAGATGGCTTTTTATATCCCTTGCTCTTGCACTTTCTGGGGACTAAGTATACATTTGAGATGGCGGGAATGGATCCAACACTGTCTTGCAAAATTCTAGAATCAGCACTTTCAGAAAGAAATGCACCATGTGGAATAGTAATTCAGAAAGCCCCAGGAGAATAATTATGTGTCAGTGCATCTTCCCAGATTCATTGAAGTGGCATAGGGTGACAATTCCTTTGGCCTGACATATTTCTGAGCTACTGCAGATGCTACAAAATTCATTATTAGTGTCCAGGGTGAATCGTCTTGCTCGTGAATTCTAGCAAGCGTGTGGTATACTTGAGCAATGTATTTGTGGATTCAGGCATATAGTCAAGACCACATGTACAATGAGACACAGGGATGCTCATTAAGGGTGGCTGCTTGCATGTGGCAAATAAAAGTGTGTCACCAAAAAAAGAGGAGATAGATTTACATTGCATACCAGAAGCCTTCCCCACTCATTCCACAATGTCAGGCAGCATCTGTGATTCCACAGAATCACCTCTGAAATCTTTAAGAGGTACACCATCTGGGGTCCCATCATCTCAGGAGGTTGGTACCTCTCCTTCTGTCCCCTTTTATGGAATTCTACCTTCATATGCCTCAGCTTGTATGATCTTCAGAAAAAGGAAAAGTACTGAGAAAGATGTAAAACTTGCATATCCCAGGGAGAAATAAACATCTGCTTCAAAGGAATGGAATGATATTTCTTCCAGAAGGCTAGAGATAATCCACACTGAGGTCCCATATCCCTGAGGGGCAGCAACTGACTGCCAGCAGGTCTTGTTGATGCCAGTGGCTTCTACCATAAAAGAAGTCCTGGGAGGAGAGAATCCTGCTGGCAAAAGGAACACTGCACTGCTTGCATCCAAGCAGCAGGTATTCCCCTGGTTGGTCCATTAAACAGAGGACTAAGCTCAATGAAGTCAGTCACATGGCCACCCCTAGTTCATTCTTTCTTCTCTTCATGGCTTAATTGATCACCACCACTACAGAAGGAGACGTGTGGTTCCCCCAGCTCTGTGTTGCTTTCATAACATTGGAAAGAAAAAGCTCCAAGATTGCATAAGACAAATGCTTTCCAGGTTGGAATTAAGCCATGCTGGTTTTGCCTGGAGGGAAAACAGCTATATGAAGACTAGGCCTTTATGGGAAAACCTTGGTAGCTGTGGAAGAAGTTTGGCAGTTCTTCATCACTCCTGTGTATTTTCTTTTGTAAGTGTCTTGTCTCACACCTGCTTTAGCAGTACAGAAGAAGCATAGAAGTGGAAACACAGGTTTGCTGAGAGGTAAGGTGTAGTTCTGCCTTCATATTCTTTACCACTAGGAAGGTGATGCCTTATTTGTACTACGGGAAAACAAATCCTATTGTTTTATTTACAAGGGAAAATCTTTTGGATGCATATTGAGTGGGATCAAGATTTAGAGAGACTTAGAGTAGACCTACTGAAATTAAAGGAACTTCAGTTATTCATTGTTAAGCTCCATTGATTTCAATGGTTCTGCTTTAAGTTTGACTAAACCTGGATCCATCCCATTCAGTCTTATTTCATGTACTGGTTTAAATAAGAAATTACAATTGTAGGGGGCAATTTTAAATTGCAAAGATACTTACCTAAACACACAGTCATAAATACCACAATTCCATTTTTAATATAAATCATATGTGAAGCAATGGTAAGGATTCTGAGAACATTCTTTCAAACCTTTTCACCCTCAAGAACAGACAGTTATCTAGTCAAGATTTTCAAAGATCAGTATCACCCATGCATGTTTTTTGTTTGACCTAACAAACTATGATCAAACCATGATGTGATATCCTGGTTTGATAACTAACTATAGCTAATGCAAGCTACAGTCACAGGGAACTGTTGTTAGTTTTCACATGAAAGCTTTCTATATTTTGTTCACACATGATGATTGGAGGAGGGAAGAGGACATGGGAAACAGTTAGGACCTACAGCCTGCAGTTCAGACCCATCTAAATGATGTCAATCCAGGTTTATCACTACTTTTGAAGCAGTCCAGGGAATGTCGCTAACATTTTATATAATCTCAGAGTGATGTTAGAGTGAAAGGCATCTATAGCATATGTACATGTGCGTTCACACATACAAAGAGAGAGACTTTTGGGTAACTCCTGTTTTAAGACTGCAGGGAAGAATATTGATTGCATTTTTTTCTGCACCCAATAAATCATTGCATCAGTTTGGAGAAAACCTTAAATGAGAACACTGAAGGAAGTTTTTGAATCAGTTCCATGAAGCTGGATAGGTACTTTTGTCTGTGTCTGAAAATGTTTTTGATCTAAACAGGGCAACTCATGAAAAGAATACAAGTATTGTATGTATTGGTCTCTAGGTTCAGCTTGCCAACTGCCTGACAAAAACCCCCAGCAGCTGGGCATTATATGGTTCCATTAACAGAGATCTGATCAACACTTAGAATAGACAACCTGAAATCAGTCAGACAAGTTAAGTCTTATTGGTTTCAATGAGTTTAGTCTAAGCATCTCTAAATCTGGATCCAGCCCAGCATTGGACTTGGTCAAACAAAGCTCAGATCCAGCATATTTCAGCTGACTATGTTTGCAACTTTAGTCTTGTATGGCCCTTACATGTTTGACCTTCCCAGGTTGAACAGGAAGGAGTTTGTAACCCAGTTCACTTCCCAATGATTGGAAGACCTGATCATGCAAGGTTTCCAGGCACAGAATTGTAAAAACACGTTGAGAATCATGATTACAGGTTCTCTTCCCAACTCCCCACACAGCATGGGAAAATCAGGCCATGCCCGCTCTGCTTAAAATTAGACTTCTACATGCTTGCATAAAGCTTTTGTGTACTCTGAGGACCATGACCAAAGAAACAAACTGAGATAGTAAGTGAAAAAATGTAATAGCTTTATAAAACATAATCAAAATCCAACTTGAAAACCCATTGTTTAAATACGGTACATTCATGTTCTAAAACAATATTTCATCTACAGCTTGTTAATGAAATACTCCCACCATGTAACTTTTTAATTTAAAAAATGGCTAAGTCAGGAAATTGCATCCAGCAGTTAACACAAACTATACAGACAATTCAAAGAAACAATCTTGAAAATTCCACAGAAGAATGAAGGAAGGATCTATTATGAAATGTCACATATGTGAGGCTTATAATACATCTCCTCATCCTTTTTAGCTTGAAAATAAACAGTGTACATTCTTTTCCTTTCAAGATGAGGGTGGAAACCGACAAAAGCTTCCCACATGCTTGTTCTATCAACATCAAAAGTCAGCCAAAAGTTCATGCAAAAAATTAAGCGTTACATTCTCCCAGCTGCTGAACTGAGCTCATCATAGTTATATCCAGCACCCATTTGAGATTTCACTAGAGAGGGGCAAGCTGTCAATAAATGGCGAAAGGGTGAAATTTCACAGCATGATTTGAAGACCAACTCTTGAAGACCTTCAAACTCACTTTGCAAAACAAAGCAACAAATATAAATATATGCATTTTTCAAGAGCATGGGTTGCAATTTCTTTGGAGGATTGAGGTTTAAGCCTGCCATGGCTGAGCACAAAGCAATTCCACTACTGCATGGAGGTGGGACAAAAATTTTCTTTGACATTTTTGCCAGTTCTTCATATCTTGAAGACTCTTAATGCTAGAAAGGGGTGACATAGCATGCCACTGTTTGGTCTCCAGGAGGATGTCCATCAGCCATTGCATGTGGCAAACCTCTGCCTCCCTGGGCGGGGGGCCTGGTCCACTGCAGAGGTGCTCACTTGGCTAGTGGATGCAACTTTACCACCATGACTGTCCTGCTGATGGTGCTCCATGGGTGATAAAGGCCAAAACGAGGCTACTTTCAGGTGTGTCTTTGGGTCGATCAGGGAGGCTTTCGGACTTGTGGACATGGTCCCAGAAGAAGGATGGAGCTATACCCTCCCTGGAGTTGGTTTGGTTATTTTACCAACCATGTGACGGGATTAAAGAAAGTCAAGAAAAACCCAGTTCAAGTCTAGCAGGGCTTAGACTCTGGCAGTTCTGTCATGGGCTCTCCCCTTCCCTGACCTTCATGATATTTCCATGAGGGAACCATGGTAGACATTTATAAGATGTTACTTGTGGTTGATAACATGAATGTTATTGGATATTTTTCTTCCTCTCTCACTGAACAAACAGATTGGCAGGAGATGCAGGATGGAACTGGAATAAAAGGGGCTATGGATTCCATGGCTTGCTTGTGAATTACTGGTCTAGTTATCCAGTAGGACTCTTTCATTACTTATGGGGATTGTCTTCTGTGCCCAGGAAGGAGTTTTTGGACAGGGATGCATGAAGGGCTGCTGTCTGAAGGGAGTGCTTAAAACTCTTGTGCGTGAATTGAGCAGCCTCCAACACTGATCTGGATCCTGGCCTGTGTCTCATAAGTAATAACTAGAGATGCAGATGGCCCTGAGGAATAATTTGAACCAAGATGGGGGAATGGGTCAAAGAGCAACTGGACCTTGTCTTCTCTATAAAACGATACCCTGGAGCTTCTGTCGCAGGTTCCACATATGGGATGGTTTTACCAGTGGACACTTGTCATCAGTTTCCACCCTGAATCTCAAACTGCTGCCATTTAAGTTAATAAATATATACAACATTCTAGAGCTCAGTGAACATAAATAGCAAGCCTGGGCTGTTATTTCTCTGCATATCCACATGGATAGATTGGGGGTATGAAGATTCCAAATTAGGATCTTAGTGTTATAACAACAATAAAAAAAAGGTCTAAGATAGCTTTGCGCCACCCCAGTCAGACACATAAATATAAATAAGTATAATCCAGGAAAACATTTTCCTCCCCAGATCAAATCATTATTGCTAGCAGCAAGTGGCAAATGAAAGATCAGATAGCTGAAAACTACCCACGTCTCACTTTTACCAAATGGATCTGGTTTCCTAGCATTTCTAAGAAAAGCTTCTGGTATATTTTTTGCATTGTTAGGCTGTGGAGGAATCTGACTACTTTTCGGAGGCCTTGGATTGTCATCTTGGGGAAATGGTATGTTTTCAAATGCTTCAGCCCATACATCAGGCCCCTGATGGTGTCTTGGTCTGCGTTTTTTATTCTCCACAAGTTGAGGACCTTAAAAATCTGTTCTGTGGATTTGCAGATCCTCAGAATACGTTCTACTTCTTCTTTCCCAACTTTCTTTCCTGGTAAATTTTCCATCAAGACATTGAGCTGTGCAAAGGTGATATTGAGAAGGCCAACATGTTTTAAGACACTGTTTTCACAATGTTCAATACCTACAAAAGATAAAAAAAAGACGTGCTTGTTTATTTTCATTTGTCAAAGTTAGAAAGCAAAAGGGACTTATTTAGCTCCCCACTTCTTTAAGTTAGGCATTTCTTGCAATCTTAAGTAGATCTGCCCTACCAGCTGAAATCAATCAAAGAAAAGTTGGGAACTTTAAATTCCATAGTTCCTTGGAAAGGGCCACGATGGTAGAGTTTAGTTTTGTAGCACAGGAATCACTCCAGTGTCTTTATTACTAAAGCATCTCCGTGTTTCCCATTGTCCTGCCTGACCCATATATGTGCTGAGCTCCTACCTCCTCACCTTCAAAACACAAATCCATTTAGGAGTCAGTATCCATTACATTCTGAAAGCCACTCAGGCCCACTGCATACCCATGTTGAGGGAGTCACATATTCTCACAATTTCAGATGTTCTCTGTGTACAGTTAGAACAAGAATGGCCAGGGTGATATGAGTAGAATGCACTTCATGAAGTCATTTTAGCAGCACAGTGGCTGATTATACCCTATTGGAATAATCTGCCCATCATAACAATCACATGAATCGCCTAGTCAACTGCCTGAAAAAAAATGACATTACCTATCCAGGCATGAATCACCCCACTTTCCTGCTATATGCAATCTTACCTTGCATAATGTTCTTGACCATCTTGTGGTCCTTGTTCTGCTGCTTCCATAATTTCAGTAGCTGAAATATCTGTTCCTGGGGACTGTGCCTTCGCTTAATGCTTTCTGTGGTTTCCATATCAACCTTTACACCGGGTAGACTGTCCTTTAGTGTCTCCAGCCAATTGGGTGAGAGCTTTGTAGGTACACCGAATCTGAAGAATGCTTCCTCACACAAGGTTACATCTAAAACAGGAATAGGCATATCAATACCATCAACATCAGTTTGCTCTTTTGAACAATCATGAATTATTGCGCTTGCATGTATTCAGGAAGAGCTGGTGGCTTGTGACAACTGCCCACTCATGGGAGACGAAATTCTATAATCTGTGTCAAATGTAGGGATAGGTAGATTGGTCAGTTTCCATGCTGGGTTCATTGTATATGTTCACTCATAAATCTGTTCCATTCCCTTTCTACATTCATCTGTGAGTTTATTAAAATACATTCTGGATGTAACTTCCGTGTTAATGCATTTTCTCAGCAAATATGCATTTCTCTGTGTATTTTCACAATATGTCCTTCATCCAATAAGTAAGAAATACTTGTTTCTATATGCATTCTGATATCTTTTTTGATCCAAGAAATGCATTGCAACAAGAGGAGAGGTGCGAACAGCTGTGTTTTGATCTGCATGTAAGTTCAGCAGGTGTGGACAAGATATCCAGTCAGTTTGAAATAAAGACTGAACACACACACACACCTCGCCCCAAGCATTTCAACCAGCATGTATTATATGTATTGTGAAGTTCTTCCTTTTGTATCTGTCAGCTTCAAGCCATTCTCAGCGTGGAGTCCAAACTCAGTAATAGAAACAAGATATTTCACTTTTAACTCACACCTACCAATTTCACACCGCTGATCCAACTTGCCGCTTCTTTCCTCCTGGCACACGTTGTCCCGCCTGGCGTCTCCCTTCCGCACCATTTTGAGACCTAGCACACTGCAGTTGGTGTGTTTTTGGCAGACTGCTTTGGGTGACGTTTCATTGGAGAAATAGCCTTCTGGGCAACTCTCACAAACTGTGTCACTTTCAGGGGTACCTTTAGGGAAACAAACCAAAACCTAATAAAAATGCTTGGCAAACACTTGGTGCTCAGCACTTCAGGGATTTCCTGTCTGGTGAAAGACAACCTCAAGGACTGAACTGAAAGCAATCTGACAAGTGTCTGGTTTCTTTATTTCCCAAAGGTTTTCTTTTAAAGGGAAATGCTCTTGACTTAGCACAGTTTTGTTGGTTAACATTTTAAATCTCGGCTCTTTTACTTTGCAAGTCCAGCACACACTCAGAAATGTCACATGGTACATGGCCCACTGTCACTTTCAGAATGTAGGCTGGCGATTGAATTATTTGAAAGATCCCTCTTGTTAAAAAAACAAAATAAAACCTAACTGCATACAGCACATTAGCACGTCTGACTGTTTTTCACATGGAGGGCATTCAGAAAAGAAACAAGCAATGTGAAAGATTCACATGGAAGTACAGATAGGCAAATCAGGAAAAATACCATGAATAAGGATCACACTATTCAAATATGAAGGGCTGCTGATGAGGAGGCAAAACAAAGTAACCAGCAAAACAGAATCTACTTGAAAAGATCTGAACAAAGGCAATAGAAAGTCCCACTAATGCCAAGGCTGCAAAATATTACTTCCTATAAGATGTTTAATCCTGCTAGATCAGCCAGGCTTCAGTATCGGTCACCCACTGGGGTCTCAAGGACTGGTACTGTCCTGGGTTCTCCACATGAAGCGGGCTATAAACTGCCATGTTATATTTCTGTAGTTACTTGATTTATATGCCTTTCAATTAGCCATAGGCTCTCTGGGCAGCTTGCATAGAATCAAAGAATAAAATACACCAATACAATAAGACAATAATATCAATAACATTAATGATGATAAAACAATGGATAATAATAAAACAAACTAAATATATAAAGTTAATGATTAATAAAAGTTAATAAACAGAGGGGATATAAACAATAATCCAGTAAATTTTATATTATAACTTTATATATTATATAAAAATATAAAGAATTTATATTTCTTACAAAGAACCAAAGCATTCAACACTTCAGGCCACTTTGAGAAAAGAACATGAAATACACACATATAGTGGTGTCCAACATTTCAGTTTTGCACAAGACCACATTAGAGATGCCAGAGCATGATGGGAAATTGAAAATGGCAGCTTGCAGTCACAACCCTGCTGTCAGGGAATGGTGGAATGGAGCAGCAGAAAGACACACGAAAGGCACTTTGCTGAGGGTCCTCACAGACCTGCAGCAGAGATAGCCTAGCCTGTAGATGATGTCATAAACAAAGTTTTCAAACTTTCAAGGAAGTTTCCCACTTTCAAAAGAATTGCTGAAGTCAGTTATTTAGATAGCTCAACAAAATTTGTTCCTTTAAATCAGGCTTCTTATACTCACATTCCATAAACTAGAGATAGCAACCCAGATAGCATGGTGGCCATGTGTTCTCTTTTATACAGTCCTCTGTTTGATGGATTGGCAGGAGGCCATCCTATAGTGCTCCTTTTAATTGAGGAGGTTTTCTTCTATTCTGGTTTAATGATAAAGAAATTTAAGAAAGATGCAGAGATTCTGGAAAGGGATCAGAAGAGGGCAACAAGGATGATCTGGGGACTGGAAACAAGGTCCTAGGGGAAGAGATTGAAAGAACCAGGCATGTTGGGCCTCTAGAAGAGAGCACTGAGAAAGATATGATAGCACTCTGCAAGTATTTGAAAGGCTGTCATCAAGAAGGACAGGATCTCTTCTTGATCATCCCAGAGTGCAGGACACAGAATAATGGGCTCAAGTTTTAGCAAGCAAGGTTCAGCTGAATGCCAGGAAGAACTTCCTGGCTAGGAAGGCTGTGCTTTCTCACCTTAACAGTGTTCATGATGCAACTGGACAGCCATTTGAGAGGGATGGTTTAACTGGGAGTCCTGCACTGAGCAGGAGGTTGGATCTGATGGCCCTCTGCCCCTTTGAACTCTGCTATTCTATGATTCAGAGATTCAATAAGTTAGCACTTGAGCAGCAAGACTCCTCATCACTGCATTCTGCACTGTGCTGACATGGGCCACATCTCTTAAAACTAAAATAATAATTACTAAAATTCAGCTGGCATATGTGAATGCTGGGCATTAGTGAGCACCCTATGGCCATGTGCTGTGTTCTGCTGGGTGCTTCATAAACCCAGTCATAAAAGATGTTTACGAAGCACATGGTGGTCTTTACTTCAGTGCCGCCATCCAGCAGATGGGTTTGGGGCTACAAATTTGACAGGATTGATTTAAGCCTCTCCCGAACAGCTTCCCTTTTTGGTATAAAACAGTCCTCGAATCTAAATAGGTGTGTTGTGTTTTTTCTCCAATCAAGCTGACACTTTGTATATTTCTGCCTTTATGTGTATGCTTGTATTGAGTTGATAGAGATCTGACTAGAGTACAAAAGTACTGTTGTTTGTGCAAATTGTGCTGCTGAATACAATAAGTGAGTTTCCAAATATTTAAAAGGGAAGCTGTAGCTCAGGAATGCAACACAGCGATTATTTATTGAACCTCTTTTGGTTGGCAGGATTATTGCAGAATTCCCCAAGGTGCAATGCCAATGTTTAATTAAAAAATCTAATTCTATAGAATGCATATTTGATTAAACTGATGTAGTAAAGCAATTTAACATGGCAGATGCTGTGCGTGGATTATGCATTTTTAGGAACTTGGACAGGAAGATGGTTGTTGTTGATCTCTTTTTACTAAAAGAGTGACGGTACCTGAGTTTAAACTGCACTGAAAAACAAATAAATAAGTAAATGCAGTGATTAATAGAAGCCAGCGTGGAGCTGTCAAAAATAAATCTTGTCAGACTAATTTAATCTCATTTTTGACTGGGTAACCTCCCAAATGGACAAAGGGAATAATGTATCTGTGGGCATAATCTATCTAGACTTTAGCAAAGCTTTTGACATAGTGCCTCATGACATTCTGATAAGCAAATTAGCAAGAACTGGACTAGATGGAAAAACTATTAGGTGAATCCAAAATTGGCTGCTAAATCAGACACAAAGAGTGTTCATCAATGGCACCTTCTCAAATTGGATGGAGTAATTACTGGGGTGCCACAGGGTTCAGTCCTGGGTCCAGTGCTCTTCAACATCTTCATTAACTATTTAGATGAGGAAGTACAAGGAAAGATAATCAGATTTGCAGATGATACAAAACTGGGCGGAATAGCAAACACCCTAAAAGGCTGAATGAAGATCCAGGGCAATCTTGATAAACTTGAACACTGGGCTCAAAGCAACAGAATGAAATTCAATAAGGACAAGTGCCAAGTTCTCCACCTAGAAAAAGAAACCAAATGCATTGATACAAGATGGGGAATACATGGCTCACCATAACTGAAAAAGAAAAAGATCTTGGAGTAATTGTGGGCAGTAGGCTAAACATGAGCCAACAATGTGATGCAGCCACCAAAAGGGCAAACGCTATTTTGGGATGCATTGACAGAAGTATTACTTTCAAATCACAAGTAGTAGTAGTTCCTCTATACTCCTTACTAGTCAGACCTCATCTAGAAAACTGTGTTCATTTCTGGGCACCAAGATTTAAGAAAGATACAGAAAAACTAGAAGGAGGAGGGCAACAAAAACGATCCAGGGTTTAGAACCACTGAGGAGACCCTGAGAACAGGGCGAGTTCAGCCTTGAGAAGACTGAAGGAGGACATGAAATTACTGTATCAGTACCTCAAAGACTGTCTCAAAAAGGCAGATCAGACCATTCTTGCTCATCCCAGAGTGTATGAAATAATCAGCTCAAGTTGTGACAACCCAGATTCAGGCCAGCTATCAGGAAAAGCTTTCTCACTGTCAGAGCAATATGACAGTGGAACCAGCCATCTAGAGAGGTGGTGGAATCTTCCACATTAGAGACCTTCAAATAGAAACATGACACCCCTCTGAGTGGGATGGTGTAACCTGGTGTCCTGCAACAGCAAGGGGTTGAACCCGATGGCCTTCATGGCCCCTTCCAACTCTACTATTCTATGATTCTGTGATTCTGTGAAATGCTATTTGTTGTATATATGTTACTGACAAGCAGTCATTAGTGTATATATCTTCTCATATATAGAACATAATAATAGCTCTGTAGGATCAGACCAAGGTCCATCTATAATTCAGCATTCTGTTCACACAGTGACCAGAATGGCTTCAAACTCAGATTTAAGCTACTCTGACAAATCCTTTGTACGTTCACACAACATGCTAGCCTACTGTAACTTATAAAAGTTGTGTCCTGTGAACCCAGTCACTGTCTAAATCCAACCGTGTGATTTTGGATTTATTCTGAAGGTGTGTGCCCTTCAGCCCTAGGGCCAAATATGAGCCTTGGCTTGCACAAACTTTTCAAAAGCCTTTCTTCAAGCCATCTGTTCAGACTTCTAGCAAGAGCAGTTAGGGGGCAATTCTATGTTTAGACACATTGGCTAGGGAATGCTGGAATTTGTCAGCCTTTTTTCTGTCTAAATGGGCATAGGATTGTATGTTTAATCCTCCTACCAGCACTTCTCTGTGTAGACAGGAAAATGGAAGAGAGGATGATGCTGTCAGAAAGAAAAGAAAAGAAAAGAAAAGAAAAGAAAAGAAAAGAAAAGAAAAGAAAAGAAAGAGGAAGGAGGGTGATCACAAGAGAACACAAGATCCCTTCTCTTGCCCTCAAGCTGCTGCCCTCACATCCTGCTTACAGGTGTCTCATGGGCAGCAGGTTGGCCACTGTGTGAACCTTAGTTCTAATCTTTTATTTGAGCTTTTCTTATGTTCTTCTAGAACAGGGTGGCTTTATCTGCTTTTTGACCTTCCCTGTCTGCTGCTGATCTTAATCCGACCTTCCACCAAGATGCAACCCGGACACATGACCCTCAAGGGAATAGCCCTCAGTGAAAGAAAGGCTCTCTGCCCCTGCTACCAACTATCATGAATGAGCCTTGCTCTCATCTGCTCCTTCTGTCCAGCTTTCATGTGCCCAGCTTAATGCGTGACCTCCTGGTCTGATGAAAGTTTTGTTTGGTGTTATTGTCCAAACTGACATATTATGATTTGAGAGATTCTTGCAGGTCAGGATTGCTTATCAGGAGCCATAGAGCACCAAATAATAATAACAATAACAATAATTCATTAATGGATTGGCCAATAGACTGGCCAATGGATTGGTCAGAGTAGCAAACTGTTAACTAGTCAATCTGCTTCTGAGAACTAGCAAGCACAGGACTTTTTGCAGTCCTCCAGTCCACGGATGGGAGGATTGTCTGAACGAATTTGGAGAAAAGCATGATCAGAAATGCACTACTAAATACATAAATGTCAATATTTTTCTATATCCTATTTTAGAATGTTGTGCTGTCAAAAATAATAATTCATATCTGAAATGTAGTTTACTAGTGTATTTTATTGTTCTTTAAAAAACAAGTCACAAGAAGGCTCATACCTCTGGCAATATAAGAAAGCACTTAACATGCTAGCTGTTTTTTCTAAATTTTGGTTTTTGGGTATTGGGGTGGGAGAAAATTTTACTTCGCATCGTAAGGCTGTTTAACTCCTGAGGCTGTTTTTCCAGGCATTTGATGGCTGAACTGTTAATGGTTGCTACTTGTATTTTAGTGGTCTTACTGTATTGTATTTTGATGGATAATTGTTTTACCTTCTTTACATTTTGTATCTTTTAATTCTTTCAAGTCTCCTGGGGTCTTTTTTTCCATTTGTGTTTTTTAGAGAAGTATCTAAAAGGGCATTCTTGGGGCAGGTAGGTCTAAACACAAATAGAATTGTGCCTTAAGAAATCTAACAAATATCAGCAACTTCTAAGAAGAATCCTTTTCATTTCTCAACCTGCCTAACAAACTGGTCTTTTGTGAGATGATGCAAGTTTTTATCATTGCTTCTAGACCAGAATTTTTATTTCTTAAAATGTGTTCTTTAGAATTAGGGTTAAATCCAGCATCATGCTAGGACAATAGGACTTCCTCTCTGTGTCTTTCCTCATGCAGCTCTCGGTCCCCAGAACAACATTTATTCCAGAAGGTTTCCCAGCCCTTAGGATTAGATCTTGAGAACATGCAGGGAAATTCTGGCCAGCTTGTGTGTCTGAAAGGAATTGCCACTTTGGATCCTTCATTTAATTTTTTGTCATGGAAGAACACACGAGTTCTTTCCTTTCCGCACCACTCTCTCTTTTTAAAAATACATTTCTACATTCAGTCTTTATTCTGCCTAATAATACAAGATATTGCCATCTTCTCTGCAAGGGACCTGTTGGCTGCTTAGAATATATATAAAAATGGTAGCTATTCTATATGAGGATCCATTTGTGACAGTGGTAATTTACTTATTGCCACACAATTGCGGCGACTTCTGCTATTACACTAATATTGTTATAATTACTCTCTGGGTGCTATATCAGTTAACACTTGGACTGTTTGCCAAGACACATGAAGCCTTGAAGCAGCATTCCTCCCCATGAAAAATGTTATTAGTTTTATAACCCATAAATACTACATCCCAGATAATGTCCCTGTGAAAGAGAGTCGATCCATCATGTTTCTCATTAGAATGCAATTTGCAGCTGCCATTAAATGACCCATTACAGTAAAAGCGGAATGTTTTGCCACTGTGAGCTGCATTCCTTTTGGCGACAGTTCAGGGAGATATTTGGAGGATGGCAGCCTGTTTTTCACAAGCATCGCAATAAATTTGCTATCCATCAATTCCATCGGGGCACATTTCTTTCCGAAACTTTCCTTGCAGCACGGCTAGTTTGTCAGTTCCAAGCAAGTGGCATAAAGGGGAAGTTTACTAAGCCCTCTGCAAGGTGACTGCATGAAAACACGCCAGGGTCATGCAGTTTAGAGCTGGTTCCAGGGTTCTGGGGCCCTTCGCCCTTCACCCACAGGAGGTGCCTCCTTCAGAGAACCGTCTTTCCCCCCACTGCTGTGGATCCTCACCTTTTGCCTCAGCATTGCTGCCATGTGCTTGCTTGTAAGCAGAGGCCAGTGAGAAAGCAGAATGAGGCATCTGCTTGTCTTTCTCAGCAACACACCCACTTCATAGTCTGGGCCGAAGTGAGAGACAGACAAATGGGTGATGTTTTCTCCTTTTCTATTTATTATATTTGCATCCTACCTTTTCTCCTGCTAGGAACCCAAGGGAGCTTACATAGTCCTCCTGGCCATTTCATCCTCACAACAACCCTATGAGGTAGGTTATGTTCAGAGTTAGTGGCTGGCCCAAAGCACCCAGTGAGCTTCATGGCCAAATGGAGACTAGAATTCAGACATCCCGAGTTTCACTCTGAAGATTTAACCACTGGGTTACATTGGTTCTTCGTTGCAATGGTGAAAAGGAGGAACAAGTATGGGGGCTTCTTGTCAGCAAGCCCCTCTTGGGGAATGGGATCTTTGCAGCTGCCCCACCATACTGACCCTTGATACTGGCCCAGGCGGGATCCATTTGGCTTGGTGGGCTGCAACAGTTTGTATGGACCAGCTTTAATGAGCCTTACAAAAATGACTCCAAAAGAGCTTCCACAGCAAAACCTACTGCATTATCCCAAGGAGCTGTGAGGCATCAGGGTCTCAAACCAAGCATTTTGGTGGCAGGGCCACCAAGGCCCCCTTGGACTGCTCTCAGGCAGGGAGACCTGCAGCACCACCCCACCCCTGCCAGAAACAGTGCTATGGCTTTGGGTCAATCCAGGCTGACTGTGAAACCTGAGCAGCCAAGGTGGCCTTGCCTGGAATTCTATTGTTCCAGGCTTGGTCCCTCAAGTAGAGCAATCTTTCAGCAGGTGCTTCTTTGGACTTCTGCTTTGTCCCACCGTTCTGTGAACTGTCTCCCTGTCCATCTTAGGCAACATCCCATTCCTCCAAAGCTGGCTTACCAACTTGCTTACTTATGAGCATGCTGGGCTCTGACACAAGTGTAGGGCAGCTTTCACAGAGCTTGTTCGCATACCTCCCTTGCAACAACCCCATGAGGTTAGGCAGAAAGATGGTGATTGGCCTGAGATCATTTGATGAGCTTCATAGCTAAGCTGGGAACTGAACCAAGGACTTCCTCTTCCAACACAAAATCACTATCCATCACACCACAATGACATGTACTAGCCTGTATTCCTGATATATGATGTTATTAAGCTGCGGCATATTGATGAGCTAAAGTAGGGGGAAACATAGCAGGATTCACCATTGTCCTTTGTTTCCTGGCCTTGTCTTCTGGAAAAAATCTTACCTACCAAGGAGAACAAGCAAGTGGCTATTTACTGCCCAGGTTAATCAGCCCAACTCTTGAAAGCAGACACCTACCTGGCCGAACCACACCAAAGCCAAGCGGGCAAGCTGTGTGCTTCAAGCAGAATTCTAGTTCCAGGTACCGTCCCTCAGTGCACTCACAGACACGGTTCCTGGTGCGGCTGCATCCGACTTTCTCATACTGCAGCTCATGGCACACTGCATTGCAATACTGGCACTCATCCTGACTGTTCCAGTCATCTGCATAGTATTGCTCCGGGCAGGGAGCACACACGGTCTTTGAGGAAGCTGTGCAGTGCTGCTTGACGTAGGTTCCAGGAGGGCACTGGTCGCACAGCAGCTGGCGGGAGACGACTGGGTCATAATGAAGGTACTTTGGCACAATAACTGCCTGGACGGTCCACTTCACAGACATGTCGAGCAACTAACAGGAAAGAGAAAATACAATTTTTGAGGTTCTTCTTCCCTCCTTCCTTCTCTTCTCCCTTTCTTCCTTCCTTCCTTTTTTGCAACACCACAGTAAAGGCAGATGTGTTATTATTTTATTATTACCTTTATACATTTATATCCAAACTTTTCTTTTTGCAAAGACACCAAGGCAGCTCACATGGTCATCCTCCTCCTTCTCTACATTTTATCCTTGCAACAATCAAGCTTCACCCAAATTAATTTGCAATCCTTGTGGGGGGCCAGCAGAGCATCTTCTACTCCTGAGCAAGATGGAAGATGGTAAAATTCCATAGAGGGAGGAAACTTGTGGCTTCCTTTTGAAAGCTGGCAGTAGGGCTTCTTTCCTCTTGCTCTTCCACAAATGGGGACTGCAAGAGGCTCTTTCACTGATGGTCAACCACTGCTTCCTTTCTTCCCCAGAAGATCACAAGTCCCAAGCAACTTTACTCTTGACATTTTTCTGCAAGTGAGGCCATATACAAGGACCAGAATAATCACTGGAAAAGAAAATGGTGACCAGGCCACAACAGAAAAGAAATTCTTCATGGCCTGGCCACCATTTTCTTTATAGCTTTGCCACATATTTTTTCATGGGATTTTTCAGAAAAAAAGAGAAGAGACAAAAAGTTGCCACTCTGCCATCCAAGATGGCAAATTTTGGCATCCTCCAGTAAGTGAAATGGTGTCTGATTTGGCCAGCTGTGGATGGAACCATGTCTGCAGAGCCCTAGATCCATGATGAAAGTGGATTAGATCTTCAGGGGACAAATTGGCAACAAACATTTGGGTAGGGGGACCACAACAACTGAATTTGAAATGCCCTTCCTATAGCCTTCATCCATCCCCAGGTGTGTAGTGGAACTAATCCTCATTGGGATGCAGCACCTGCCCTTTTCAGCAAGGATGCTGATCCATTCACCACCACTTATCCCCCTTATTGCTTGTACCTTCTGAGCTTGGTGGAAAGCCTCCTGCTAGCTGGGATTGTAATGTGAAGTATGCTGGGGATGCCTTGATCTGGAGTGGCTCATAAGGACGTTGCAAAAGACCTGCTCCCAATGGAAAGGAAAATGGCAAGAACTGATTTGTTGATTTGGATCAACGCATCTGCCTTGATATTCCGACTGTCCTTGGCATTGTTATGGAAACTTGGTGAGCCTGTGTCCTTCAAAATGTACCATTGATCATCCACACATATCGCCTTTAACACCATTTTTCAGTATGGAGAACAGTCCTGTACTGCAGGATTGCAGACGTTCTGCAAGTATCTAGCTAATCTTAAAGTACTGTGCTTTACCAAACATCCCAGGTTCAAATAGAGATTTTAGTCACCCTTTCTTTCTCTAGTTGGAAGATGATTTTGAAAGAGAATTTGCATCATTTTAATTTCCTTTAAAATCTGGACACATATTTACCCCACCAATCTTGAAACAGAAACCAAATGCCATTTGTACTCTGCCCTGCCATGCCCCACCTCATGAAACCCATGCAAACTAGATAACAACTGCAAAAAGGCTGCCCAGATTCCTTCAAGCATGTTTTCCCTTCAAGCACAGTCTTGTGGAAGTAAAGAAACTCGTTTTTCAGCCTTCGAAGGTCTGATTATATGCTTTGGCTTTGGGGTTTTCATGCAGACCACAGAAGAATGTTTGAATTCACTGAAACAGATAAAGCACCCAGTGTTTGGAATGTCAAACACATCCCAGAGTCTAGTTTTCCTTTGAAAGTCTCTGCCAAGTCAAATCTTTACATTTGCTGCTCACTTTTCACCATCACATAAATGTCTCTTAATTACCTTTGGGTCAAAATCCATTTGGACTATTACTCTCTTTCAAGTAGTAGCCAGCTAGTAGGAGCTCACCAGCATGGTCTGATGGTTGTGGTCCTCCTCCACTCCCTTGTTTATCACCAGAATCTGAAGACCTACTGCTCCTGAAACCGGAGATTTCGGAGCTAGAAACCGGAACTAGCCCAAGTTCAGCAAATCCTCTTTTAATGTGGTGAGTCCTTTATGGAGCCATCTAGATTAGTCCTATTCCTATAGCAAAAATTATACTTTGTGTGAAGAAGGGGATTTCACTTGCCACTCCTGAACCTCTAACCACTAATCAATTTCACTGGGTAATGCTGAGTTTATTACTATAAGAAATTGTGCTTATAAAAATTTATAGTGTGACTACACTTACATGGTGCACACAGTTCATTGCACCTGAAAAGAATATTGCAGCATTGGGAAAGGGGCAACTAAAATGATGAAGGGACTGGAGCAACTCTCCCATAAGGAAAGGTTGCAATGTTTGGAATTGTTTGCTTCAATAAAGGATGAGGAAAGGGAGACATTTAAAAGAAGTGTATAAAATTATGCATGGTGTGGAGAAACTGCATAGGGAGACAATGTCTCCTATTGTCTAATAGAAGAATCCAGTGGGGTCATTGCATGAAGCTGAATTGCAGAAAATTCAGACAGTTAAAAGGAAGACGTTCTTCACACAGCAAATAGTTAAACTATGGAATTCACTTCCACAAGTTGTAGTAGATGGGCCATCCAGCTGGATGGCTTTCAAAGGAGACTCAATAAATTCATGGGTGAGAAGCCTATTCATCCATGGCTACTAGTCCTAACGGCGATATGTTATCTCCAGATAAAGCATGCCTATGTACCAGCTGCCGGGGATCATGGGCAGGAAGGTGTGTTGCACTCAAGTCCTGCTTGTGCAGCTGGCTGGCCTCTGTGTGAACAGAATGCTGGACTAGAGGGATGCTTGATCTGATCCAGCATGACAGTCCTCGTGTCCTCATGTTTTTTTATTCTTATTCCTTCCCTGTATTTCTGAAGTTCAGGTATGAATGCTGCAACTTAGGTAGTCAAATCAGCAGTATCCATTCATAAGAGGAAGGTGTCAGCAAGCTTAGGGGAATCCTGAGGATTACAGAAGTATCATAAATCTTTAGGGAAACATATATAAAGGGAAGAAGCAAAACAGCCTGGTGAGGACACAACCTGTTCATTGAAGACCCAATGTGGATTGAATTTTTGGGAGCTGGTGACCAACCTGGTGTGTTAGACTGCAAGCTCCATCATTCCTGGCCGTTCTTGTTGGGTATTGCAGTCCAACACACCAGGGCAGCAGTGGGTTGGTCACCAGGTTGGGGAAGGCTGCCCTAAAGATTCCCTAAGCATAAATTTGCAGAGAGGAGAGTGTTAGGTACCAAGTGTGAACCAGCCCAAGGCTCCAGTCTGATGCATGCGCATCTGTGGATATGTCCTATTAAATATGGTGCAACTTTTTACTGAGCAACCATTTGTAGGATTGGGCACATACAGCCCAGTACTCTAAATTCAACTACTTTATGGATGAGAGAGTTTAAATGTCCCATGCTAACTGGGTTCACACAGCATGATAATGCATACTCAAAGCAAGTACGGGTTGAGTGTGGACTGTCACTGAAGCATCAATCATCATGTTGTCTGAACTCAACTAGGGTAACAAATGATGGCCAACAACCCACAGTGCATGACCCAACAAAAAGCATGGGTTACCATCATGGGTTGTTCATGGTTAAAATGCTTTTTAGCATGGCTGGGACCATACAACACAAAGACCCGTGTTTCAGCAACAACCCAGAGATAACCCACACTCAGTCCTTGAGTGTCAGTTATCATGTCTGAATACAGTCAGTGTCAACTGTAGCTAATTCCTAACATATCTGAATACTCTTATACACCTAGCATTGCTTTTTTGATTCTCGGTGTTGCATCCACTAGCTGTTGCTGTGATTCCCAGGGAGATCATTTCATATTTTACAAAGCCCTTCCACTTCAGCTTTGAACTCCTTAGTGCTTCTTTAGTTAGAGTGCAGGAAGAGCAAAGAGGATGGCAGATAGTCAAGTCTTTCAGCTTTTCTAACAACTATAAATTTGCACACCACATCTTGTCTTGTGTCTTTGCATCAGAATTCGAAGTGGTCGACACTCAGGACACAACCTTATTCCTACATATGCATATTTAGAGAGAAAAAGCACTGCAACTTCTGGCATTCCCCAGCCTAAGTTACACGCACATGAAGTTTTGGGGAATTTCTGCCAACCTTGGGTTCCTCAAGCACATCCTGATAGCTCACTCTGGTGTGGAAGTGATGCCATGTGGGCTACATAAAGAAGGCACTTATAGTCTGAGCATCAGAAAGAGAGGAGGTGATTTATTGATGACATGTTTGGCCTTCCCTTTCTCAAAGGAGCTGAGAATAATGTGCATGATACCCAATCCTATATTAGCCACACAGGAACCCTGTAATAGGTGAGATTGAGAAATGGTGACCGGCCCAAAATTATGCAATACACCTCATAGATGACAGGGGATTCGAACATGGGTCTCTGCACACTTAGTCCAACATGCTAGCTGCTAATCCTCACTGGCTCTGAAAAATTTAGATGGAATCACCAAGTAACATAAAAACTAGTAGTGAGGCCCCAGAACTGCCAGTTCAATACACTTTTGAGAGGTGGCCTTCTTTTTCTCTTCTAGTGACTGGCTATTCCTTCCTAGTATGCTGAAGAGTTGATGCAGAGCTGAAAAGAACTAGAACAACCCTGTGCACAATTCTTCTGCTAAGAAGGAAAAGCCAGCAAAGACAGACTTTATGACCCTTAGAGGGAGTCCAGATACTGTCAACGCAGCTATTTTAAACCAGCTTGTGTCCTGCAATATAAGCAATGCATCGCACATGGCTTTTGTGGCTGGTCATCTGTAACTGAACAGAGCAGTCTTCCTCAACCAATCTCCCTCAAGGTGTGCTGGACTGCGACACCATGATCCACAACCTGTGGAAGCCACCAGTCCAAAGCACCTGAAGGAAAAGGCTGCAGCAAGGTGAGAAGCCATTCAGAGATCCACTAATTCCTAGCAAATGTCCTCCTACTTTTCCTTCTCTTGCTTGCTTGCTTGCTTGCTTGCTTGCTTTCTTTCTTTCTTTCTTTCTTTCTTTCTTTCTTTCTTTCTTTCTTTCTTTCTTTCTAACGAACAGACATGACAAGCATTCATTCTCAAACCAAGAAGATGAAGATTAGAGGGTCTGACAGGGCCAATTATCACATGATTCCTGTCAAGCTGAGGCTGGCGGGCAACTCATTGACAGATTATCTGTAGGGGTTGTCATACAGGGTGAGCAAATATACAATTGTGCCTCTGAACAGCTCCTGTTCATGTTATTGAAGCTTGCCCAAGAGTAGGACCTTTGCACCCCTTTAACTGTTTTATGGTTGTAATATGGTTTTAATCTTTATTTGTATTTTGGCTTTTTATGTAAACTGTCCTGAGATTTTATAATAATCACAGTATATAAGAAATTTAAATAAATAAATAAATGTGCATAACAGTCACGATCCAGTAAAAATTGGGGACATGCATGCTTAAATAGCACATGGCAACCAGTGGCATATTAAAATGTTTTAAACTTTGGCTGGATCATTTCCACCTTGTACAATGTTCACAGCTGCTGTGTGCATACAGATACTTAACAAGGCACAGTCCACTGGAAAGTTCTCCTTCACATTCCACATGGTAAAAGGGAGTTCGTGCTGGATAACTTCCCAGTGGACTAAGTCCCCTTTTTTAAAAAAAAGATACCACTTATCTAAAAGCAGAACAGAAAAAAAAGATTTCCATTGTTGGACTCTAACTATAGAAGTGACTTTGTTAATTTACCATATACACAATGCAACAAATGTGAAGATGAAAATGAAGTTGACAGACAAAAGGAACATTCACTGTTGTTTGATCAGACTTTCCTCCTCTTTTCCCCAAGATGAAAGACACTGAGAGTATATTGAATAGATGACATCCAGGATAACATCAGATATCACAAGACAAACAATTCTCTGCCATGGATTCTGGAGCAGGTTTTAAGTGTTATTTGCAGAGTTTGATTTGCAGCTTTCCCTAGCCTCAAGGGTGGGGCATGCGTCAAATGAATGGATTCCCAAAGTTAAGTCGGAGTGAGGGAGAGAACAATTACAGAAGCAGAGGCAGGAAAATTCAAAACTTACATTCATGGATTTTGGTGATGCAGACATGAATGTACCACAACTCATTGGAGCTACGTTGGAGCAGAATATGTTCATTTGTTCAGCATCACAGGAAACTAACTCTACACATACCATGGGAACAAGTGAGGGAAACTTTTTCCTCCCAGGCATAGAATGTGCACTAAGATTTGGACTGTGCTCCCATACACCAAGAGGAACCAATGGTCCAGCAGAGGGTCTGAGGTTCAGGCTCTGCATCTTCTATTGAAGGGATCACAGGTGGAAAGGCTCAGAAGAACCTCCAACGAAGACCCTGTGCAGCAGAGCGCACAGTACAGGGATAAGATGGACTTCCAAACTGACTCCATAAAGCAACCTTGCACGTTCGCTGAAGACACATAAATGCCAAATTCGGGCTGTTTGTGACCTGAATGAGAACAGCCTTAGCTGAGTGGAAGAGCAGTCTCTGCATGAAGAAGCTCTCGCCCAAAACCTACTGTGTTTTTGTGCTGTGTTGACAAGATTAGGCTAGATAGACGGATTTTGTATGAAGCAGCATCCTGAATTCCTAATCTAATTCAGCCCACCGGTTTGCTCCTGTCCCTTCTTCGCCTTCCTCCCCATAGATTGTCCTGATAGCATTAAACAAGCAATCCCATTCGCCAAGGTAGCAGTAGCATCAGCGTAAGGGCGGCTGGAACTACGAGGCTTAGAGCATTCCTCTACCTTGTAAAGGTGGCATATTCGCTCCTTCCCCCAGCGCCTGACGCCAGGGGTGCGTTCTCCTTTGCCCAACGCCACCTTCCTAAAAAGACCTGAGGAGGAAAAGCCCGGCTGGCAGGCTCTCCCAGCTCCCTGCCTCGGCTAGTTCCAAAGCCACCGGCAGTCTCTGGGCAAGGACTTACCACAAGCGTGCAGCACAGGAACTTGTTCATTGTGGTCGCTTTAAAACCCTCAGGGATCTGGGCAGCCAGTCCAGGCAGCTCTCCACTCTCTTAGCAGTTCGCAAACACTGGCCCAGCACATTAAAAGTACCTCTTTATATATGCCTGCGGCCCCCAAGCAACAGGAAACCTCGGCTCAGCTCTCAATGCTCTTTCCCTCCCCACCATCAATTTCTTTCTGACTTTTTTTCTTTCAGAAAAAGGAACCTGCAGATGATTTCATGCAATTTCTTTCAGCACTATTTAACCACAGGCTGCTGGGGGGGGGGCGGGGGGGAGGTTGGGAGGGTGTGTCAGGATCCGGGCACAGCAATGAGTTAACTAATTACTGTCTGCCAGACACCGCCTCTGCTGTGCTACTGTCCACCCTTTTTCTGGGCGAAGAGGGGGAGTTTAAAAGACTCACCTCCAGGACATCAAGGAGGAATTATTCAAAGTCCTGGTTGTTATAGAGACAAAGTTTTAAAAATACCTTGCTGGAACTCAGTCTTCCTCAAAGTGGCTGCTAGTGCCTTTACTTCCTTCCTTCTTTCCTTCTTCCTTTAATGACTTTTTTATTTATTTTGGCTTTTGAGGCTCAAAATAGGAGCTGCAGTAAAATTAAAATAAAATATACATATTTTAAATACATTAAAAATTTTCTTTGCAGTTTATCTCTTGATCCAATTCAAAATACTGCAAGGTTTATCATTTAATACAGGGTTTGTTAAACTTGCAAAATCATCTTCTTCATCCTCCTCTTCACGTTGCATTTAATATCCTGCCTTTTCCCTCTGGTGAGAAAACCACTGCAATTTACATAGCTCTATTGTATTCTCACAACAGTAGCCCTGCACAGTAGGTTAGGCTGAAAGTGAGTGGCTAGCTTAGAGGCACCAAGTGGGCTTCATGGCTGAGTGGGCACTAAAACTCAGATCTCCCAGGCCCCCAGTCAAACACTATAACCACCGCAAATACTGGTTCTTGAGTGTATCACCTACCAGTATATTGTATTAATGTATTTGACAGCTATATTGTGTCCATCCCTATAAGGTAAGCAATTCACCTTCCCAGTTCACAGATGTGGAAGTGAGGCTAAAATACTGTACTGATAAAGTTAAAATAAAAATTTTAAGAAATCTTTTTTTTTATGGTGAAGATGACTTGATTAACTGATTTGATCGACCATCAAACAAATGTACAATTATCTGTCCCAAGGCATGATCTGAAAATGTCCCATGGATTTTCAGCATGCTTCAGCTGAGCATGTAAAATGCTGGTGGTAACTGGCAGATATTATTATTATTATTATTATTATTATTATTATTATTATAATAACATTTCTATGCCGCCCCTTGCCAAAGCCTCGGGGCGGCTTACAACACAATAAAATGCATTGCAATACAATAGAACATAATAAATTACCACTAAATACAAAAATACAAAAAATACCCATCATATAATCAACAAACCTTTTCTTGGCAAATCTCCAGAGCAGTTTTGCAACTTTTTAAAAATGTATGTGGATTTATTTTGTAAGCTGGATAAACACATCAACAGGTGTACCACTTAAATAAATTGGAAATTGTAACCAAGCATTCAATGATTAAAGAGTATCTGTTTTAAAAGCAGACAGCTCCTGATGCATGAATGTTGGGGGCAAAGCCATGAGCCAGCCCTCCTTGGCACCGGAAAGAGTTGCCAATCCAGTTTTTGGCTTGCTAGTACGATTGTAACACAGGCTGAAAAATCACATTCACATCATGGATAAAGTCATTGCAACAACAAGGCTACAGGATGACTCTATGGCAGGTGTTGTACCTGGACCCAGAGAGAGATCTCTGCTTTGTGTTGTACCACCCAGAAATTCTGCTTCATTGACTGAAATAGCCATTCACAAGAAGGGGAGTGGGAGAGAGAGAGAGGGTGCATATGGGCATCGTTACCCCAGCAAGGGTGGAATTATACATTGTATCCAATTCTGTGATCCTTTTGGGTGACAGAGGAGACCAGTACGGTTTGCATGGAGAAATGGCTTCCTAACTCTTTTGCTCATGTGCCATTGACTGGATACACACAACATGACAACCCATTATTGGTGACAAGCCTTGACAGTTTGTCATGTCATGTGAACCCATGCAGGGTGGATTTTTTAAGGGTGGATTTTTAAGGGCAATGGGCCACTTTGACAAACCATGGTTTGTACTAGAGATTCTTGTACCCACAGTGTGTTGTCTTCATCCTATCCTGGCAACTGGCACCAGGGTTAAGGGAAGTGGTGAGTGACCCACTTGGCTACAGCAACAAAAACCCAAGCCACACAATGAGAGCTCTGTCTAGTTCACCACCCTTAAAAATGTACCCCAAAGATCTGCAAATATTTTATTTTATTTTTAATTGGACTTGTGCAAATACAGAAGTTCACACTGTCAAAGATCCAGAATGGGAACTTTACCTTGGGCAATGTCAAGCTGCAGCTGCAAATAGGGTTCTTTCTACTTTGTGTTTCTCTGACAGCTGTCAAAAGGAGAGCTGTCAAGGAAAAGCAAAGCCTAAGTGATCTTTACTAAGGAAAGAACGTGGCCACTAGTTCATCCGTTTCACATGAAGATCCTCTTTTTAATTTTAATTTTATTTTTATTTCGTTTTCCTTTTTGCTGGAACTAACACTCCCCAGTGTCCTGCATTTCTCTTTTTACTATCCTTTCCTGAGCTTTGGGAGTTCAGGAATGTGAGAAAATGGGAACCATCCCAGTTTCAGGAGCACAGAATGTTGACTGCTAGCTGTCAGAGCTCAGCTTCCTTGCAAAATGGACTGTTGACAGGCTGGTTATTTTTTTTCTTTTCTTTACTAAGAAATAGACATATGTATCTGCATATGCTCCTACAAAAAAAAAAAAAAAAAGAATCCCAATTAGCCCTGTCAACCCACCCCAGTTTTTAAAGGGAGTCTGAGTTGCCAAATCTTTATGCTCCTGTACCTGGTCTAGCTCATGCTTTTCCACATTCCTGCACTCAGAATTGACAAAGGGAGAGGAGACAAGATGTGTCCTGTCATGGAGTCCTCTAGGATGATTTCAGAAGGGTCAAGGAGGAACTGGGGGACATAGAGCCCAGCGGGGCCAAGTGTCTGCCAGGAGCACTTGGGGTTGTTTCATAGTCCACACTGTGTAGCTTAGTCGTAGGGTGAGTTGTTCCAGTGTGTGGACCTGTCCTCCTTTCCTCTCACTGTTTTTACTTCAATCTGTCCCTAGCAAAGAAAGATATACCTGACTGGCAAAGATGCTCTGTCTGGAGTGTTTTCCAGCCCTTGCCTGGAGTTCCCCATGATTGAACCAGAGACCAAAGCAGGGGCTGTTCCGCCCAGTTATAGCCTTTTTCCTTACATCTCACCCTAGTGGAAAAGACTATGACTAGGTGATCTGCATGTGTGCTTGGTCTGCTATCCAGGTGTTGACTGTTGATGAGTGTCTTGAAAGCCCTGCTCCTCCTTCCTATGGGATTGGTCAGCCTTTTAAAAAGGAGACCTCTTCAAATTAACTGTCCTCTTACAGCCCTTCAAATAGAGAATTGTCCCCTGTAAAGTAAGATGCATGGCCACCTTCCTCCCCATGCTGTTCTCCTCTCTCAGGTGGTGGCTGTGGTGACTGCATTTCCCCAAAACAAAAACGATCCCTAAAAGGAATCACAGAATGGTACAGAACATGTCGTTCCACTCTAAGTCATACGTTACTTGCTCCCAAACATCTTTCCTTGCTCACCTGACCACAAATACCTGTGTTAGTCATTTGTGGTAGATGGATGGAAGGAAAATTAGGTAACTTTCTTCCAATTTACAAACTTGTCTTACAGCTGACATTTGCTATGAGCAGCTTGATGAGTGGCTATTTACAAGTCTGGTGTTTTGTTTTTGCTGTATCACTGGTCAGGCCTTTCTTTCCACACAACTAAGGCTGCATGGAGAAAGACAAGAGTGTCATAGGCAGTCGCCTTGCCTCCCCATCATAATCTATGCTGGCTCCTCCCCAGAACTGTCCATAATTTAGGAGAAATCCTACAGATTCCATGAGTTGCAACCCAAGTGTGGCCAGCCTCCATTTCACTCTTCCTCCCTGCAGTATCAGTTGCATGGAGAGCAAGGCCTAAACAGGACTTACATTCAAACTGAATATTAGCTTCCTTGGAAGATTACTACCTTTCACATTTGCTTTTAGCAGTCACTTTGGATTTGAACATGTACCAATTAATGCTGACTTTTGTTGCATTTGCTCTAAACTCTTCACTTTGATTCATTCACTTCCATTAAAAATCAAAGCTGATATTTTTCACGGCTGTGGCCCACATGGCAAACACTTGGCCAGCCACAGGTTCCGTAAACATCTTACATAAATTCCGGGATTCATAAACAGCAGTTTGCAAATAATGAAGTGATAGTCATGTCTGCAAAATAAAGTCATGGCAAGGGACTGCTCTTCTCTCCACATCCCAAGCCCACCACACTGTAGAATTGTAGGAGTAGAAGTCTCAGGAGGACCAGGGTGGGGAAGAGGAGAAGGCACCGCATGTGCCTGTGGCCAGCCCAGGAGACTCACAAGTGGACACTGTGTATAACGTTGTAGGCAATCCTGTTCATCAACCAGTGGCACAGAAACCTCTAACGGGGTGGAGTGGGACCCTTGGAAGTTGTGCATATGGACATAAGGGACAGGCGATAGCAAGGGAAGTCTTTTTGTGTGATTGGATGTGCAACAGTGCACTGCTGCATTTAAGCCACAGGATTCCCTGCTTTAGTTTGTTCCACCCATCAGAAGATTGAAGAAGGCCAAAGAGGTCACACTGGCTTCTCAAGCACAGTGTTTCCATGTCTAATGCATGCAAAAGCTCCTGTGTTGCTGAGAAGCACATAGTTTCTATTGTCCTGGAGCTGCAGTGGTGGAAGAATTATCACCAGGGAATGCCAAACAAGATCAGTTTTTGGTCTGAATCATAGGGATTATCTTAATATATGAATGTAGAATTTATTAGCGTATGATTAACTAGGGTGCAGCTTCTTCCACTACTGCATGTCCAGGAATGTTCTGTGTTCATAGGAACGTTGCCTGGCAGAGGTCATGCGTTCCAGGTGAAATGCTGAAGTGGTCTGAAAAAGGTGCCAGAAGTTG